AATAATCTGAGTAAGGTCTGTAGATTAGGTAACAGTATTACATAAGTGCTTATTTCCATGTTTCAATAAATGTACTATGGTTACGCAAGATGTCAATATTTGGGGAAGCTTGGATGAAGACTATATGGGAACTCTTTGTACTATTTTTGCAACTTTTTCCTAAGTCTGGAATTATTTCAAAATTAAAAGTGAAAAATAAAAAAATTAAAAATTAAATAAAATAGGGTAAACAAATAGAAAAGAGAGGGAGAGAGGGAGGTTAGGGTTGGATGTGACTATGAAGGAAGAAGAAGAGGCAGGAAAAGATGTGGAATATACCAAGAAGCAAATGTACTTCACAGGGCCTGGTTTTCCAAAGTCTTACAGTTTCAAATATTGACCTTGCAAGGACAGGAAATTTCCCTCAGTCTATAAGTCTCTGTTGCAAGATAAGGATTGTGGCACAGCAGGTTGCTGGCTCAAAGACAGACTAGTTACTGATTGATATGTAAAGATACTGAGAAATTGCTGTAAGAAGGAATGTTTGCTAAGATCAAGCTTGTGTTGATAAGACCACTTCATTGCCTTACTGCAATGTCATCTGGCTTGTTTCAGTGAAAGTTACCGGCCTGTACTGTTAAACTGTAACCCCACCTTTGTTCTCTTCCTGTAACTTCCTGGTCTGGAAAATAAGTGCAGGAGGAGAACCCCAATTCGGGCGTTAATTTCCCGAGGAAGGGAAGTTAATCGCTTTGGGGCTTCTCACTGCTCCGTAGAGATGGGCTTTGAGTAATCCTTTGCATCTCCCTCACCCAGGGGAAGTGGAGTGACAAATCCGTGGGGGGCAAAGCAACGCAAAGCAACAGAAAGAAGCAAAGAGACTATGAGTTCATGAGGTCAGAGATTCTATCTGCTGTTTGGGTTCCTACTGACTCCCCTTGGTTCTGGGACAGTGCCCGGGAGCTCAGCATATGTTTTTGGGAGGCAAAGATCATTGAAACACAAGCCACACAGAAGGCGGTAGGCACAGAGGGTCTCATCTCACGTTCATGAAAGGCCTCCAATTTTAACTTTGGGCATTCTCTGCAAAGGACGTTACACAGTCCGTGTACTGTGCGTGCTGAAAGCGTGAATTCTTTGCATGCAAACATTTAACATACATTGCTATTTCGGTAACTGAATTTCGCTGTCACTTCACTTTTTCCCGTTATTTTTTGAGATGTAATTCACATACTATAAAATTGACCATTTTAAATTGCACAATTCGATAGTTTTTAGGTTATTCACAAAGTCGTGCAACCATGTTTTCATCACCCCCCAAAAGAACTCCACGCCCGGGTAGCAGTCACTTGGTATTCCCGCATCGCCCAGTCCCCGACCACCACGCATCTACCTTCTGTCTCTAGGGATTTGCCTGATCCGGATATTTCACGTGAATGGACTCCCGCGTTATGTGGACCAGGCACCTTTCCGAGGTCCAGCCCCGGCGAAGGCCAGTGGCGACCGGATTGGACGGCGCTGGCTGGGTGTGCCCGGGGCGCCCAATCGCGGTCGAGCATCGGCAGGAGGCAGGTGGAGGTGGCGGCGGCGGAGCAGCGCCGGGCAGGGGCGGCGGCGGGACTGTCGCATGGCCGGCTGGTGG